GGAGGGGAGGGGGGGGAGGTGGAACCCCTTCAACGGAAAGGTGATCAAGGGTTGGATGGGGAAATGTGACAAGCGGAGCCTACTTTCTTTCTGGATAAGGAAAGTTTTTTTTTGCCGACCCTGATTTCCCACAGCTGGGGCGCTACCTTGGAGGAAGCCTGAGAAATTTGCTGAAGATTTGTGCTGCTGTGGGATGGCATGTTCCCTTTCCCACAGCTGGGGCGCTCCCGGGCCCTTGTCCCACCTGCGTTGTTGAGCCAGGTCCTGGCCCATGTCCCACTTGCAGCTTTGGGCTAGAGTCTTCCCCCGAATACGAAGTACGGTCATTATAGCTGAATTTGGGGTATCTTTCAGTCTAAATTCAGCTATAATGACCGGACGTTGTATTCGGGGGAAGACTGTAGCTCAACGCAGAGTTTTCTATCACGTGTGACCTGGGGCGACCCAGGGCGGAGGTCCCACGAGCAAGGGGGATAGAATCAAGCTCCTGAATCTGGATGTGATTTATGCAGAGATGCAGAAAAGCAGTTCAATGTCAATTTACTGCACCTCTCCACAAACACGTCCAGATTCAGGCACTCCATCGAATCCCCTTTGCTAGTGAGACCACGTCCCAGGAGATGAGTTCAGTTAGCCGTCCATTGGGCGTTCAGATCTTCCTGTGAAATCGGAAAGGAGCTCACAGAAAGATCTGACCGCCCAATGTTTTTTCGTGCTTGAAATGGAGGGGCCCCAGGGGCCAAGTCCCAGTAGCAGCGTTGAGCTACCTCAACGCCTGAATCTGGACGGTTTTGCGGAGATGTGCAGAAATGGTGTCGAGTTCCCTGAACTGCACGGTGCCACATGCACCTTTTAGTTGAGCCAGCTCACCGGTGCTAGTGGGCCTCGTCCCACATGCACCGTTTAGTTGAGCCAGCTCAAAGGTGTGACAAACCAAAAGCCTTAAAAAAATGGCATTTCTAGTATTATTGTGTTGTTTTTTTTTGGCAAATGTTTTGTATGTCCTGGGCATGTCATTATCTTGTGTTCCCACAGCAATGTGGTGCTCAGAGAAAGGAATGCAAATCCCTGTCCTCTGCGATGCATGCCCCCATCCTTGCTTGGAAGACTGGTTACAATTGTGGTGGGAATGTGTCATCGCCAGGGGTTTGTAGGAAGAACTGAACCGGTGGTGGTTTAAGGCCTACTCCAGTGGACCAGTGGTAACTTCTGGTGCCAAGACTTCATCATCATGGGTAGATCTGACCCTCAACACAAGAAACAGCAGCTCAGTGAGGTAGCCCAATGCGGCCCGCTTGGCAAAACCTCAATCCCGGTGGTTCTCTTACCACCACCAGGATAGAGGTCTTGCACCAGGGCCTTTCAAAAAAAAAAAAAAAAA